GGGATAAATGTCCAGGAGTACAATTGCTGTATTATCTAGTAGTTACAGGTTTAGTTTTTATAAGAAACTGCTAAACTATTTTCCATTTGTGGGATGGAAGTGTCTGTACCATTTTACGTTCCCAGTGCAATACATAAGTTATCAGTCTCTCCGCATCCTCACTCACCACCATTTGGTATTGGTGCTATTTTTTAAATGTTAGCTATTATAGGTTATCGTAGTAATATCTCATAGTTTTAATTTTCATTTCCCTAGTGTTATGATGTGGAACATATTTTAATGTACTTATTTGCCATATTGTATTCACTTCAGTGAAATATCTTTTCATTTCTTTTGATATTTCCTAATTTAATTGTCTGGGTTTTTAGTGTTGAATTTTGAGAATTTTTTAATGCTGTCTAGACACTAGTCTGTCCTTTGTTAGATATATGGTTTGTAACTATTTTTCCCACTCTAAATCTTGTTTTTTCAAGATCCTTGCAACGCAAAAGTTTTCAGTTTGGATAAAGTCTAACATTAATTATTTATTATATTGATTGTACTCTTGGTATCAAAATTAAGAACTCTGCCTAATTCAGATTTTTTTCTAAACTATAAAGGTTTTATACATTTTTCCCCATTTGTTGAAAGGACCTTTCCTTCATTAAATTGCTTTTGTACGTTTGTCAAAAATTAGTAGGGCATATTTGAATGGGTCTCTTTATTGGTCTGTATTCTATTTCTATAGCTATGTAAGTCTTGAAATTGTATAAACTAATTTCTCTCACTTGATTTTTCTTTTTCAAAATTATTTTCACTATTCTAGTTCCTTTGCCATTCTACATAAATCTGTAATAATAAAAGCATAATATGCTAATTAGACTGGACAGCTGAACGACCTTCCGGACGTCCTTCTAGACAACCTTCCAGATGAAGCCATGGCTGCAATGGCCAAGGCAAATGGCTGCGAGGGCTGAGCCCCTTGCACGAATTTTGTGCATCAGGCCTCTAGTTTATAATAATTGCATATATTTAGAGAAAATCTTGCTGGGATTTTATTAGAAATTGTATTAAACCTGTATATCATTTTGAGGAGAACTTGTATCTTTACTATGATTCATCATCCAATTTATGAACACGGTATATTTCTCCATTTATTTAGGTCTTCTTTGGTTTATTTCATCTGTGTTTTGTGGTCTTCAGCATGCAAGCAAAAATAGTTACATGTTTTGTTAAATTTACACCTAAGTATTTTGGGAGTTTTTCAGCAATTGTAAATGGCACTGTATTGTTTTAAAATATATCTTTAGTGATTTCAGGGAGGAAAGGAGAGGGAGAGAGAGATAGGGACATCAGTGATGAAAGAGAATCATTGATCAGCTGCCTTCTGCACGATTGGGGATTGAGCCTTCAACCTGGGCATATGGTATGCCGTAACTAGGAATCGAACTGTGACCTCCTTGTTCATAGGTCGACGCTCTACTACTGAGCCACCTCAGCCAGGTGGCACTGTATTTTTATTTTATTTTTTTATTCACATGCTCATTTCTAATATATAGAAATAAAATTGATTTTTGCATGTTTATCTTTTATTCTGCAACTTTGCTAACTCTCTTATTAGTTCTAGCAGAGGATTTTTTGTTGTTTTTAAAGATTCCTTGAGATTTTCTATGAAAACAGTATGTTATTTGCAAATAGGAATAGCTTGATTTCTTCCTTTCTGATGTTTACGCCTTTTATTTCACTTTGTCTTATTGCACTGGTTAAAAGTTCCTGCACTGTGTGGGATAATACTGTTCAGAGTAGCTATCTTGTTCCCCCACAGGGGAAAGCATTCAGTCTTGCATTATAAAGTATGTTTGTTGTAGGGTTTTTTTACATGCTATTTATCAATTGCAATTCTCTTAAGTTTGTTGTTTTATTTCCTACAATATGATCTATATTGGTATATATTCCATAACTCTTGAAAAGAATGTGTATTCTACTCTTGAGTGGAGTGTTCTACAAAATGTTGATCAGATCCTGTTGGTTACTGTTGTCACTCAGTTTTTCTATATATCCTTGCTGATTTTCTGTCTAGTCATTCTCTCAATTTCTGAGAGGCCTGTTGAAGTTTGCAACTTAACCATAAGTTTGTTTATTTCTTCTTTCATTTCTATAAGTTTTTGTTTGTTTGTTTGTTTGTTTGTTTGTTTGTTTGTTTGTTTGTTTGTTTGTTTGTTTGTTTGTTTGTTTGTTTGTTTGTTTGTTTGTTTGTTTGTTTGTTTGTTTGTTTGTTTGTTTGTTTGTTTGTTTGTTTGTTTGTTTGTTTGTTTGTTTGTTTGTTTGTTTGTTTGTTTGTTTGTTTGTTTGTTTGTTTTTTGCTTCTCATATTTTGTAGCTTTGTTGTTTGGTGCATACGCATTTAAGATTGCTATGTCATCTTGGCAAATTCACCCTTTGTCATTATATAATGTCCTCTTTCTCTGGTCATTTTATTTACTTTGAAGTCTACTTTTTTTTTAAGTCTACTATACCAGATATTAATATATCTAGTCCTGCTTTCTTTTGATCAATATTTGCATGTTATATTTTTTCCTTTATTTTGCTTTCAACTTGTCTATATTGTTATATTTGAGGTAAGTTTCTTGTAATCAGTATATATGTAGTTCATCTCTTTTAATCCATTCTGTCAATCTCTGCCTTTAAATTGGTGTGGTTATTAGATCATTTATATTATTATAATTATAGATCTGTTGGGGTTTAAATCTACCATATTATTTTATTCGTTTTTTTCTGTTTGTTTGCTGTGTTTTGTTTCTCTATTTTCTCTTTCCTAATTTCCTGTGGGTTACTTGAACATATTTACAATTTTATTTTATTTGTTCTTTCTGTTTTTGAGTGTATCTTTCTAAAGCTTTTTTAGTAGTTGCTAAAACTATTAGTGTGGATGTTATCTTGTTACCATTGGCCAGTATGAGAAGTCCTGACTTTACTAGGACTCTGACAATATCCTAGTGGGGAGTGAGAGGTGCATTTCATTACTGCCAGAAGGAGGTGGAAGTCCAGGCTCACCATGTGGTCTCCATTAATACTACAGCAGTGGTGGTGGTGATGAGAGGAGGGAACATGGCTTTGTTACCACTCTTCAGGGATGTAAATCCCTTCAGGGGTCCATTCCCACTTGGTAGGCAGTGGAGGAGGAGTTAGAGAGTCTCATTACAGCCTTGCAAGGGTGAAAACCTAGGCTCCCCACTCAGCCTTTGCTGGAGGGGACTAGGCCACAGTTTTGTGTGGTGTTGGCTGGAGTCTGAAAGTTTTCAGTCTTACTAGGCTGCCCCTTTTTCTGGTTATTTTGTTGAATAGAGAAGATATTTATTGGGGCCTTTTCCGTCTGGTCCTAAATTGGCAATTTCAAGTTGATGCTTCTTAAGATCCAAGTCTGAGATAATGAGGCAAAAAGAAAACCCAAGGAGCTCACCTTTATGTTATTCATTGGGCGCCAGAATCCCTCGCCAGTCTGCCTTCTCTCTACCTTTCAGAGACTTCTTACGTTTGTTTCATACATAAGGCTCAGAATTTTTAGCTGTACTTAGCAGGAGGAATAAGGGAAAATATGATTACTAATACTTTCTCCCCAAAGGGAAAAATTTTATAAATACTTTTAATACCAATTTAATCACTCATTGAAAATTCCCTGTTAATTCACTACCTGCCCACTGCTCACTCACATCCATTTGCAGCTTTTTCACATTGTGTGTCCCTCAAACCTGATTGATTACCATGTGTGAATTTTTTTTTTGAAAATTTTATTTTGTTTTTAATTTTTGGGGTAGAATTCTTTTTCATGCTACACAGTTGAAAGTATGTGTATAAATCAGGGTTCTCCAAGAAAAACAGAACCAATACACACACACACACACACACACAGCTAGATATAGATATAAAGTGAGGTTTTGGCTCATGCAATTATGGAGGCTGACAAGTCTCAGTATCTGCAAGATGAACTGGCAAGCTGGAGACCAGGAGAGCCTATGGTTTAGTTCCAGTCTAGGGTCTGACATGCTCCAGATGCAGGAAGAGCCCATGTTCAGTTCAAGTCCAAAGGCAGATAATATTCTCTTACTCAGAGATGGGCTAGCCTATTCCAGTCCTTCATCTGGTTGGATATCTTAGACCACCCACATTAGGGAAGGCAATCTGTTTTATTCAGTATACCCATTCAAATATTACTTGATTGAGAAACACCCTCATAGAAATACCCAGAATAATGTTTAACCAAATATGTATTCACCTTGTGGCTCAATCAAGTTGACACAAAATTAATCATTATGGTATGCAAACTTTAAATGCTTGTACTACCAGATGGGTTAATTTGGACCTAAATCTGAATTCCGACCAAGTTTTGCTCATAAATTCATATTTTGAGCTGACTGAGATATATAGGGAAACTCAAAGGGAATGAGTAAAACCTTTCAAAGTTTCCAAATGTCTCTATAAAGCAACTGCTATAATCTGGAAGGCTGTATGGCATTAAGGAAGGTAAGAAACTTAGGGTTGCCATGCTTCTTCAAGAGAACTTTATAAACAGGAAAAGCGTTAAAACTTTTATTTTTCCTGATACTTAGAGTAAGAATTTATCTTTTCCATTATTGAAATATTTTAAAAATTCAAAATAAGAATTTCTCATAACCTATAATCCCCTCTAAGTAGCATTAGCTTTTTTAAATCTAAACATGAGAAGAGTAATATCTGTAAAAATCACTGTGAGTGTGTGTTCCATCATTAAACATCCTCTAATGTTAGACATCTGGATAATCTTCAGTGTTGCAGCTTTATAAATAAGACTGCCATCTTGGTGCTGAAATCTCCAGCTTCATTTTGGGTCATTTCCTTAACTGCATCTTCCTAGAGGTGGAATTGCTAAATCAAGGGATAGATCCTTCTAGAAAGGTCGTATACCAAGATTGTACTAGCAGTGATAGCAATTGGGGGGGGGGTGGTAAGAGGCTTTTCTGATTTTTAAACTTTATATTTTTCAGAAGCATCAGATGGTGAAGGAGGGGAAGACGTAGAAATGATGCAACAGGAGACAGCTCCCGTTCCTGTCCTGTCGAAGAAAACCAAACAGGTGACAGTCACTATGAGAAAGTCACAGCTGTTGGATTCTGTAGTCATTCTCCTCTACCCTGTACAGTGTTCCCTGTGCCCTAGCAGCAGCTGTTGGCCAGATTTCAGGGACGCTTTTACCTTCTCTGCTTTGAAAGAGCCATGATTCATTAATTATCAACAAGCAAGGCCCATTTTCTCCCTAATATTTTTTTATATATAAATGTATTTTATAATAATGGTAATGTAGATTTCTGTATTACATTTTCCAGTCTTCTTGTTTTAGGTAAATTTCCTAAAAGGAGACAGATTTCATTAAGATATTCAAGCTTACCCCCCACCAACACATGATTGCAGCACCATGCTATGCTGCCAGCAGGCTCCAGGGCCACATGTTACCCAGCATTATGGTCCGTTGTATGAATTCTTATCACAGTGTTTGCTGCCTTCAGAGTAGATATTTGATAAACTCAGTGGACATTGGATAAACGTTGTTTCCTGGGCCTATGACCTTTTGTTTCTTTTTGTAATCTTCACACTGCCAACTCGCATCCATTTGCAGCTTTTTCATATTATGTGTCCCTCAAACCTGATTGATTATCATGTGTGTTGTTGTTTTTTGAAAATTTTATTTTGTTTTTAATTTTTTTAAATTACAGCTGACATATAATATCATATTTGGGGTGTACAGCCCCATTTTTAATATTTATATAGCTTATAAAGTGATCACCCCAATCTATTATTCATCTGATATCATATATAGTTATTAGAATATTAATATTTCCTATGCTGTACTTTACATCCCCATGACTATTCTGTAACTACCAATTTGTACTACTTTTTTTTTTTTTAATCCTCATCCAAGGAGCGAGGATGTTTTTCAACTGATTTTTTAGAGCGTGAAAGGGAAGAGAGAGGAGAGAGAAACATCAATATGACAGAGACACTTGGATTGGTTGCCTCCCACACCCACCCCAATCAGGAGTAGGGTTTGAGACCTGCAACTCAGGTATGTGCCCTTCACCAGGAATCAAACCCAAGACCTTCCGTGAGAAGTCCAACACTAATCACTGAGCAACACCAGCCAGGGCCGTACTTCTTAATCCCTTCACCTTTTCCACCCAGCCCCCCAGCATCCTTCTCATCTGGCAAGCATAAAATATTTTCTGTATCTATGAGTCTGTTTCTGTTCTGCTTGTTCATTTATTTTGTTTTTCGGATTCTACATGTAAGGGAAGGTCATATGGCATTTGTGTTTCTCTGTCTGACTTAATTTCACTCAGCACAATACGCTCTAGTAGACCCATGCATGTTGTTGCAGATGGTAAGATTTCATTCCACTCTTTTTTTTTAATCCCATTGCCCCACAGGAAGTCCCTTGCCATCCCCATTCTTTCCCGCTTTGCCCACCTCTTCCTATCTATACTCCCTTTCCCTCTGGTTATCACTACTTTTTGTGTTATATATACATTTGGGGGAGAGGAGGGCTTAATCCCTTCACCTTCTTTCATCCAATACTCTTAACATTCCTCCCCTCTGACAGCTGCCGGTCTGTTCCATGTATCCATGCCTCTGTTTCTATTTTGTCAGTTTAATTATTTTTCATTAGATTCCACTTATAAGTGAGTTCATATGGTATTTGTCTTTCTCTGACTGGCTTATTTCACTTAGCATTATAATCTCCAGGTCCATCCATGCTGTCACAAAGGTAACATTTTCTTTTTTCTTTTTTTTTATTTTGGACAAGTAGAATTCCACTGTACAAATGCACCACAGCTTTTTTCTCCATTCATCTCCTGATGGGCACCTGGGCTCTTTCCAGATCTTGGCTCTTATAAACAATGCTGCTGCAAACATAGGGGTGCATATATTCTTTCTGATTGGTATTTTGAGATTAGTAGTATATATTCCCAGAAGTGGAATCACTGGGTCAAAAGGCAGATTCATTTTTAATTTTTTGAAGAAACTCCATACTGTTTTCCAGAATGGCTGCACCAGTCTGCATGCCCCAAAACAGTGCATGAGGGTTCTCTTTTCTCCACTTCATTGCCAGCATTTGTTGGTTGATTTATTGATGATAGCCACTTTGACAGACGTGAGGTGATACCTCAGTGTGTGTGTGTGTGTGTGTGTGTGTGTGTGTGTGTTTAATCTTTTTTGTGAAAGTATTACATATGTTCCCCCCCTCATTGACCCCTTCTAGCCCACCCCACCTCCCCGCCCCAAGACATTGTATTTATGCACCCCTTCTTTTTTATCCAGTCATCTATTGGTGGACAGTTGGGTTGCTTCCATATTCTGGCTATTGTAAATAATGCTGTAATAAATATCTGGATGTATATATCTTTTCAATTTAGTATTTTGGGTTTCTTTGGATAACTACCTAGAAGTAGAGTTGCTAGGTCCTTATTTGTCTCTTATTGTAGCCTTTGGTTTAAAGCCTATTTTGTCTGGTATTAGTATTGCTACCTTAGCTTTGTTTGTTTGTTTCCATTTTCATGAAATATCTTTTTCCTGGGCCGGGGGTTCTGGTGTGGGGTTAGGACCCCTGGCTTCTCTGGGTGACCTCTGCAGCTAAAATATTTTTAACCGCCTCACATAGGTGTGGGACCAGCCCGTTGGCATCTCTGCCTCTCCTACCAGTCTCAGTGGCTTCTTCTTTATATCCTTAGTTCCATAGGACTTCCGTTCAGCTAGATTTCAAGCGGTTCTGAATTATGGTTGTTCTGTAGTTTGGTTGCAGTTTTGATGTGGTTGTGGGAGGATTTTAGTACCACATTTACCTATGCCTCCCTTGACTGGAAACTCCCTATGTCTGATTTTTAAAGGACTACCTAGTGTGTCAGTCCATATTTATCATCTTTGTAATAATGGTTTGTAGTCTTATTGTAAGTGGCCAGTCTTTCCAATGGAGGGTCACTCTACCCAAATTTTGTGACCAGTTTGTGGAGCAGATTGGCATAGTGACTACCTATAAACTGCGAGACCTTAAACAAGTTAAACTCTCTGGGCATCAGTCTCCTTTTTAGTAAAATGATGATAGTAATTGTGTTTTCCTCAAAAAGTTGCAATGGGTACTAAATGACTAATACTTGTAAAGCACTTTCAATAATAGTTGACAAAAAGAGTAAACACTGAAGTGTTAATAATTATAGTGAAATACATACTTCAAATCTCTTTTATTTTGTTCATTATTTTTACTCTGTAGAAAGAGGAAGGCAGAGAGATATCTTATATATAGTCATCTTGGTTTTCTCCTCAGCCATTAAATATTTTGCTCAAAGGCCCTATATCAGTTCTAGTTTTAACCATCCTTTCAAAGGCCTACAGGTTAACAGCCTTAGCTTTCAATTTATTTCACCAAGGTGTGGTTTGATTTTACCTTAACTTATTACACTGACCACACCATAGTCATGCCTTCTTTGACCTACCTGCAGAACTCAGTTCTTAATAGCTTCTTCATACCCGATTGGCTTCCTTTTTCCTTACTTTCTGCCTTGATATTTTTCTTGCTTGCTGCTCACATTTTCTCATCATTGAAAGAAATTTGCATTAATAAACTTGCCCAAGCCTGCATTTTTCATGGCATCTTTTCGCATGTAACACAGGCAGCGTGCAAGGCATTGTGACTCACACAATCCTCACAGCTGCCCTTTGAAATACAAGGTATCCCATTTGACAAATTACCTGAGACTCAGAGAGATGGGTTCTGGGGGTCATGGCCACTTGGGTGGGTGTGAGCAGGTGCTGAAGATCTATTTCCACTTCTCTTTTCACCTGTGTTTCCTCTTTCAGCTTGGAAAACTGTATTCAGCATGTCTTCATGTGCTTTGTTGAAAACATGCCATTGCTGTTTTTTGCCAAGAAAAAAACAAATTATGATTTTATGGCCCATTTTATCCATCTCCCTCCTGCTTTAATTTCTTTTACTATCAAATTGCTTTACAGAATTCAAGTCCTAAGTAGACAAATGTCTAAGCCCTTCCTCCAAGCCTCTTATTTCCCTGTCCAGAGAATTTACACGGGACTCTCCTGGGCCCCTCTGCCTCTTGAGTGTTATCCGTCTAGCTCCCTGGTCTCCCCCACCAGGCTGCACACCTGGAGGACAGAGTTTATCTGCACACACCTGGTATAGAATCATGCCCCTAATTGGCACTCATTATTTGTGAAATGAAGGATTGGGTGACTATAGCAGTATTCCATTTTCTTACC